ATATTGAGTATCCTTTAAAATAAACTACTCAGATTAGAGTAGTTTATAAAATGTGCTATAGCAACAGACTGATTAGATTCTGTTAAAGCGCGGTAGTCGTCGCGCTGCGCATGTGCGAGATATATGGGTCTCATATAAACTTTGACTGTTGTGCAGATCAACGAATATGAGACGTTTCCAAGCTTTAATTAGATAATTTTCATGTTATTCGAAAGTATTTAGGAGTCACCGACGGTAATCAGTGTATATCGCGCCCTGGTTAAACCTCATACTTGTTATTCTATTTGAAGAGCGCATTGGATTGTGGGAAAATCAATGTTTATCAACACCAATGTCACACATGCGCAGCGCGACGACTACTGCGCTTTAATTTTTTTGTTCGCATTGCATTTGAGGCAATATGTTGTAAAGTTGTTTTAATTATGGCTAGTAAATACGGAACTAAGATTTGATCACTATTACAAAGTTGGGTATTAACCATTTGTACGTAGTATTGCCAAACTGATTGACCTGGCGTTTTCATTCACACAGAAAACCGTTTAGTGCGTCATCGGATAAGAATAACGTAAGGCGTGGTTTCTCAAGCGCAACAAGATCTCTATTGACGAAGACATTGTGTCGCCTATGATGGACGTGACTTAACAAGACCAATTTAAGAATATTGTCGTCTTCACTCTGCTGTTATTGAAACAAAAGGATTACTGAGGAGTTATTTGAGAAACAAAATGTAAATATTTTACTAGTTTTATATAGTGACCATATTAGTTTTCATGTTTCATAAATCTTGTTTAACATAGAATTATGTGTGTGCATTTCAAAAGACGGGTTTGTACGAAAAGATAACAGAATGCATAAAGAACATATAGGTAGTGTTTTCAGTTTTTTTTCCTCAAAGAATGAAAATACGAGTGTTTTCTAAGCCAATAAACAAACGGTGCTAATATTATTCGTGAAATAATTTGTCTATAAAACTAATTAATGGTTTTCAAGAACAGCTAGCGCCCTTATTTCAAAAACGCGAATGAAATATATGCAAATTAAATATTTTTTTTCTGACTGATTTTACCGTCGCGGACCTGTTCATTCGGCTCCAGGCAGAGAATATCACGTGACTTAAATGGCTCAGCAAGATATTGCAGTATGGGTAACTATTTATTGAATAGTTTTGATTGTTAATGGCATCGTCGGGCAACTATCAACAGTTTCTGGGTCTCAGTTTAGTTTTGTTATAATTTGAGAAGGTTCGGGGTCTAATTGAAGAATATATGTCATCCTCTTTATGATTCCTTTATTGTAAAACGGTGTAATTAAAACGAATTGGAGATATCAGATAATTTCTCGGAAAATACGAAAAATAGTTAACATTTTCATTTCCCCCACGGTGGAAATTATTTATATGTCGAAAGTTTTCTTGGTGATATGAGATAACAAAGTTATATATTTTTATTATTAATAACATGTATTATATAATTGTGAAAACATTTCTTAACATGACATTTGTTATAGTGAGTTACAGTGCCAAGGTGATAATAGTTTTCTAGCACTTACAATGAAAGTTCTTTCCCATAATGCATTGCATATATGCCAAATCACATGGTCTTTAGAGCAAAAAAAAAATTATTTCGGCTCGAACTGCCTTATGGTAGTTCGCAGGCAATCGTTCCATAAAATGAAGGCAATATAATATAGTTGTTTTGTTCAAAATTATAATTTTTAATTTTGACAAAGTCAATAAACTACCTATTTAAAATACCTAAACTAAATAAACCATTATAATTTTCTGATAATTAATGACAACCATAGACACCTATATTATAACTACATAAGATTTTGACACCGTATTGGTAACCGAGAACAATTTTGAGATATTATGAGACCGGGTTGCCATAGTAACCAACGATAAATGGATCAACATCAATGATTGACTCATTTTTTTTTTGGCGAAAAGTCGTTTGGTAACTATATTTTTTTATCTGTGTTTTGTGAAAAACAGCATAAAATAACACTGTAAAATTCATGTAAATATGAGAATCGGTTTTAAGCGATTTGCATTTTCCTTATACTATTACTATTTTATTAGTTGTTCTTGTCTTAATGTATGTATTGTGTCTTTCGTGTACGTAATATTCGTCTTTCAACGTGAAAGCGTTCTGTATTTCAATAACGCTGTCCTTCTACGCACTATATACTACCTACGCTACATTTTGTATTTGCATAACTTAACACTGTGACACGTTTTCCGCATTCATTCAATTATAATATACCGTGTAAAGGTACAGTATGGGGAACTATTGTTATTTCTTTAATATTGTTAATATTAATGACATTAGTCACTAAATGACAACAATAACTCTTGAAATCTCTTGACAGTGCGTCAATGATTCCTTTTTCACTGAAAGGTTGAAAATGGTGGGTGACTGTTGAACATTCGAACAGAACGCCCCCATGGGTTCGGGTTTTCGTACTTGTCACCGCCATTGATTGAACTAATAAATTTCACGAAAATAAGACGAGTTTAAAGCGGGGGAGCCGTCGCCTGTGCATGCGTCAGATGGCCATAGCGTGTCATTGTTTACAAACAAGCGT